GAGGCACCCACGGGTTTTTCGCTAGCCAAACAGATGGACAAAGTCCCAGACATCTGACGGGAGAGCAAGGGACAAACCTGAGATCCTCTTCCCTGTGGCAGGTTTTCCTTCTCCCCTGGGCTGCTGCTGATCATCCACGGTGCGCCGGGGAAAGGCCCATCCTGTGTGGCTGGCTGCATCATCAGGAGTAGTATTACAAAAGCACCTAGAACTCCAGCGTGCCAGGTGCTGTACAAACACAGAACAAAAAGCTGGTCCCTGCCCGAAAGAGCTTGCCCGCTAAGTACTGGAATCAGCCAGGAGAAAGACCCTGCTGCATAGCTGAGTGTGTTCAGATTTCCCCAGATCCTTGCTGCCTGGCTAATGGGTGCTGGCAGCACGGCAGGTGCACTGAAGGACCAGAAGCAAATGAGTTAATTGGCTGGATTAAAGTTCAGGGAGCAGACTCAAGGGCCAGGCTGACAGAGCTGGGTCTAAGGGATGGGATGCTGTCAGTGCTATCCATAGCAAGGGGCCAGCTCTGCCCTGTAGCCTAGAGCTGGGTGACCCCATCCCTGCAGCGCTGACAGACAGCCCTTCACAGTCAGCACAATGAGAGCAGAGAGTCAGAGGAATTGTGCACCTGCCTCTGAAACAAGCAGCCAGCCCCTATTCGATCAGCAACCTCGGTCTGACCCAAGGGGGGGCTGCAGCCTCCTATCTCAGCAGGGAAAGAGACAGAATGAAGGAGAGAGAGAAATGGAGAGGAGAAAGTGGAGGAGAGACAAAGGGAAGCAGAAGACAAATTGGATGGAGGGATGGAGGAGGAGGAGCAAGAGAAATGACAGATGGAGGAGGGGACAGCGTGAAGAGTGGCAGTAATCGCTCCCCTTAAGCGAGGCTGTGGGGAACTCCTCTCCCCTGGCAATGAAGCCGCTTGCTGAGGTGCTGCCATGTACTTGATGGGGGTGCAGGGAAAGCTGTTCTGACACATGCCAAGAGACTTACAACAGTCCCTGTCACCCAGAGGCAGTGTCTGCTAGCCCGGTACCCAACCACCAGCCAGAGAGAGAAAGCCTTGCATTTGAATACACCTCTCCCTGCCACCTGTATCTCAGACCCACTGGCACAGAATGGGCCCACAGCCTGGCTGCTGTCTCTCCATGGCCTGCCAAAGGCAGCTTCTTCCTTCCCTAGGGTCTGCTTCAGCACCCAGCGAATGGTCTACGGTGCCATGGACAGAGTTCAGAGAGGTGGTGTCTGCCTTGCCAAGGGGGCTAGAGATGGGATGACCCCACCGTCCTGACCCCATCGTGTGATCTGCAAGCCTGTAGCTAGCCCCTGATCATGTCATACATGCCCCATACCCGCCCTGCCTCTCCTCCCCCCCCGACCATGCTCCATGTACACTATGTTAACCCATGTAACATACCAGTTGCCCCAGGCTACCACTCTCCCTGTCCCTCCAATCACATCTCCCCCTGTTCTTTCTGCACTCACTGCACTGGCTCACACCTACCGCTCCCCGTCCTGGGGTTTGTTCCTCTCAAACCATGCTCGTCACAGCTCCTAGCTCCTCCTTACGTCTCGCTCACGCCATCTTTTAACAGTCCTCCCCATGCCTACTGCCTCTCCAGACCCCTATGTGCATTCCCCGCGGACCGGCGTCCGCATCACAAAAACCCACCAGCTCGGCTGGCAACGATGAGACACCTTGTGGCAGGCTCAGCAGACGCGCCACAGGTGGAGTGGCTCCTGGACCCGGACCTCCCTCGCTGTCACTCCAGGTGGATCGTCCTGCTCTAAGCGGATGCCTGCTGAAGGGACACTGGTGAGGGGAGGCTTGCCCTGCTATTCCCCATGCTGTACCTGCTCCGTGGATAGATGCAGGGCATCCTTCTCTAGGGCACCCCAGCGACAGCTGTGGAGTAGCTGAGCCCTACAGGATGAGGCAGGCAGCAAGGCATGTCCTCCACGCAGAAGCAGGATGGGCCGGTGGTTGGGCTCACAGCAGCCTGGAGGGTTCAATGATCAAGAAGCATTTTAGAGTCATTTTAGAGGATGTGCACAGACCTCTAGGGCACGTGGGCTTCTAACCATCTCCTTTCACCATCGGAACCCATCCCATCCCCAGGGGAAAGCCAGCATATGCTGCACCCAGGCATCACATCCTGCTCCATGGAGCTAGTGGGCCGAATACTTCCACTCTCCCTTTTTTCCAGCTTTGGAAGAGGTGGGGTCTCCCCATGCCCCCGCCCTTGGGTGAGAGAGGCAGAAGGGTGACAGAGCTGGGGAGCAGAACTGGAGCCAGCTCCCATCAGTGCAAGGACTCATGTGGCGGAATCCTGGGCCCCTGGACAGGAACCAGGCCAGAATTTCACCCACACAATCTCCATCATTCCCACCATGCACACAGGGGCGGTGCAAGGAAGTTTCGCGCCCTAGGCGAAACTTCCACCTTGCGCCCCCCCCCCCCAAGTTCTGCGGTAGCTCCCTGCCCCCCATGGCCCTGAGGTGCCCCCCCCCCCCGTGGCAGCGCCCCCTCCCGGGGAGCCGTGCAGCAGCTCCCCTCCCCAGCTCACCTCTGCTACGCCTCCTGCCCGAGCACGCCATCGCTGCTCTAATTCTACTCCCCTCCCAGGCTTGCAGCGCCAAACAGCTGATTGGCGCCGCAAGCCTGGGAGGCGGGAGAAGTGGAACTGCGATGGCGTGCTCGGGGAGGGGGCGTAGCAGAGGTGAGCTGGGGTGGGGAGCCCTGCGGCAGCTCCCGCCCCCACCCTGAGGCACCCCTCCGGCAGCTCTCCACCTCTGAGGCACTCACCCCACCCTGAGGCACTCACCTCTGCTCCGCCTCCTCCCGGAGCACGCCACCCCGGTTCTAATTCTCCTCCCCTCCCAGGCTTGCGGTGCCAAACAGCTGATTGGCGCCGCAAGCCTGGGAGGCGGGAGAAGTGGAGCGGCAACCGTGCGCTCGGGGAGGGGGCATAGGAACGCTGTAAAAAAAAAATTAAAATTGGGGGCACTGCTTTTTGGCCCCCCCAAAATCTTGGCGCCCTAGGCAACCGCCTAGTTTGCCTTAATGGTAGCACCGGCCCTGCACGCCCATTGTGTGTAACGCAATAGTGCCTAGGAGCCTGTCATGGGCCAGGACCCTATTGTGCTCGGTGCTGTACAAACTCAGAATGAAAAAGACAGTTGGTGCCCCACAGCGCTCACAACCCATGCTGCCCTTTCCACAGCATCTCCTCAGTGCTGTGAGGGAGAACAGACTCCCCACCCCAGTGCTTCTTCAGCAGCGGCTCCAGGGAAGAGTGCGGTACTTGGGGGAGGGGGAAAACTTACTCCCAAAGTGTGGGCCATTGATGCCTTAGCTCTCAGCAGCTCCAAGCTGCAAGTCGATTCTGCTCCAAAGCTGCTGGCAGGGCTGGAGAAGGGACATCCCTCTGGAAGCTCTTTTGCTGCATGCTGGTCTACAGATGCTTGTGTTTGCTGGCTGCACACCGTGGTTTATAGTCTTTGAATCAATGTATTCCTACCGCAGATAAAATCAAGGCAGGTCTCACCGTGTCTCTGAATATGGATGAGAAAGAGAGCTCCGCATGGCTGGGGGGAGGGATGAATGGGAATGGAGAAGATCGAGCGATGGAGGAAGAGCAGAGAAAGGCAAGGAGACAGACAGATGAAGGGACAGGTGCGTGAAGAGTCACTCACACTTTGGGGCAATGCTAGCTGTGTGTGGGGAGGAGTTGTGTTTGGGGAGCAGATGCCGGCACAGGATTCTCAGTTGATGGAAGCAGGAGCACAGAGCCCTGTTTGTTGAGGAGCCAAACACCAGACCCTAGAGATCCAAACAGGGAATAATCCACCTGTCAGCTGAGTGGTTTCCTTCCTAATGTATCTCACAGGAGACCTTTTAATCCGACCCTCGAGCTCCCGCCGGAGAGCGGGGTCAGGGGCTTGCCCCGCTCCACGTGTGCTGTGGCTCCAAGTGGCTCCCGGAAGCAGCGGCATGTCCACCCTCCGGCTCTAACGCATTGGGGCAGCTGGGGACTCCACAAGCTGCCCCCACTTCAAGCCCCAGCTCTGCAGCTCCCATTGGCCAGGAACCATGGCCAATGGGAGCTGCAGGCGCAGCGTTTGCGGATGGGGCAGAGCCATCTGGCCAGCGCCGCACCTCCGTGTAGGAGTTGGATGGGGGACATGCTGCTGCTTCTGGGAGCTGTTGAAGTAAGCACCGCCCGGAGCCTGCACCCCTGACCTCCTCCTGCAACCCAACCCCAGCCCTGATCTCCCTCCTGCCCTCTGAACCCCTCGGTTATAGCCTGGAGCACCCTCCTGTACCCCAAATCCCTTGTTCCCAGCCCCACCCCGAGCTGGAGCCTGCACCCCAAGCCCCACTTTCATGAGCATTCATGGCCAGCCATACAATTTCCATGTCCAGATGTGGCCGTCAGGCCAAAAAGTTTGCCCACCCGTTTTAGTGGGAACTAGCACTCTTCTCCCCCGCTCCATCAGTCATTCTTGCTGGGGTCCTGTGAGCCACCCATCTGGACACAGGATTGACTGGCAGCTGCCCACTCCCCATCCTCCCCCTGAGACGTGCAGGAATGCCATTCATAAACATATGGGCCATGTGTGCGTGGCAGGCCAAGAACAGCCACCTCGCCGTGGCATTCTTGGATGTGGCGACATGGAGTCCGGAAGTGGGAAACTTTCCACTGAGTTAGGAAAGCGCCAATTTCCCAGCATGATGCTAGGAGGCACTGCTCTACCAGGCCTTGCAGAAGAGTTATAAAAATAATGTTTTGACCAGCTAAGATCATTAACGGTCCCATGGCACTTAACAGGAGGCAAATTCCTGCATGGGTAACAGCATTCGGATGAGCTAAAAACCTTGGCAGTTTCACCTGAATACAGAATTTGTCTTGACTTGCTGTCTTAAACTCCTGTACGGCATTGCTGTGCGCTGGTAAATGGCTGCTCCCCTCCAGCCCAGAAGCAGCCGCATTTCAATAACGAGCAAGAAGCTGATATATCTGTCTAACTATTTATACCTATATATTGATGTACACAGAGAAAGCTCAACGCCATCGTGACTTATAACCTATTGCAGCCCGTCTTGGGAATCCCATGGGATGGAAGGCATGACATCGATGTACACCGTGTTATGATCCTCCTGAAGAGCTTTGGGACGTGAATGGATCCAGGAGGAACACGCAGCCAAGGTCTGCCTGGCTTCTCTCCGCTCCCACCACCTGCAATATGCAAAGCAATAACAGCCCAGCTTAGCCTCACACAAACATTAACTAACTGCTCCTCACAAGCCCCCTCCTTGGTAGGGCGGTTTCAATGATCCCATTTTACAGAGGGCAAGGCTGGGGCACGGAGAAGCGAAGCCATGCTACGCGTCAGGGCAGAGCTGAGAATAGACCCCACCAGTGCTGAGTGCTCGTTACAGTAGCCCGTGCTGCTTTTCTGTAACAGGCGTCCAGATTCCACAGTGATGGGTGTGGCACGAGAACCAGAATAGAACAATTCAGGCTTGGCTCTTCCCTCCCAGCCCAGGGCTCTGGGTCTCTGCCACTGTAATTTGTGCTTCTCACTCCTGGCCTCTTAAATCATTCACTTCCCCACTCCAGCCAGCTCCCTCCCATCCAATCCCTGCTCCCGGGCAGTACAAATGCGACAATATTTTCTCATTATTAGCCTGAGTTGATGAGTCTCTGTCAAGGGTGAAAAAAAAGCAGGATCTTGGTCGGGAAAGCGTTACCCCATCTGCCTCTGCGTCAGCAGCTTCCTCATGAACGTGTTGTTTCTCCTGGCTCAGGCTATAACTCTCGCCAGTCTAAAGCTGCTAGCAGCAGAGAACACCCTAACGTGACATCTGCATTTGAGAGGGGATGGCAAAACCCTCCAAGCCTATAAGTCTGATTGGTGAAAGGGAAGTCAAGCCCACAGATCTGGAGTGGGGAAGGGCCAGAGCCTGGCCAGGAGAGGGCAGACAGCAGCTGTTCCCAGAGCAATCAGAGAGGGAACCGCGCTTTGGAGTTAGTTCTCGAGGAGGCTTCAGCTGGTTTAGATAAAGGCAACCCAGTCACCCCAAATTCAGAGCCAAAGCCCCACCCCAAAAAACTCAGGCCCTCGTCTTTTCACCTAGGCCCAAAAGCAGACCCCACATCCAAGACCCTTGCCTCAAAGCTGAAGGCCAAAAATCAAACCTACTCACCCCAAACCTTTCCCCCCTCCACTCCTCAAAATCAAGCCAACCCCAGACCCCCCAAATCAAGCCTTTCAGCCCTAATCCAAACCACTCACCCCAGACTCAGACCCCGCATCCCAAACTTGGATCTCCGCTCTCGGGTCTTCAACCCCAATCTCAGCCAGAGACTTGGGATCTTTGCTTGTGAGCTCGGAATCTATGCTCCAAAATTGTGGGTGGGACACTGCAGGCCAAGGGGGACAGGCACCATAAAAACAAGAGGGCAGTGGTGGGGCACCAGCGGGCAGGGGACCAGGGCACCCCAGAGCAACATGAGAAACCCATCAACATTCAGCAGAAGAAAGAACAGCTTTCTAAGCTCCCCCCGCCCCCAAACCCACATGTCGGACATCCCTATTCATCTGAGTTCCCTTCCTCTCTGGGCCGTGGGCTCTCAGCACCTGCCCTTTGCCAGCTAGAGTCTGCATGGGGAAGACCAGCTACATCCTTCCCAGAGCGATTCAAGGCTATTACCGGTTGAGCAGCTTGATACATTACAGCAAGCCAGGAGAGCCCAATTCCACTGCCTCGGGGTGCTAGTGACTGCCATTGGCTGCAGCGGCAGCGGTGGAATCCGGCCCAGGGATTCCTGCCGGTGCATGGAAGAGAGCGAAGCAAAGAGAACGTAAGAGACGGAGAGAGCACGCGAGACAGATGGACAGCAATGGAAACATACGTTAACTGGAAGGAAGTGGATAAACAGAAGGCATGGAGCAGATAGGCGCACATATGCTCCTGTACATAAAGCCAAGCACAGGGCAGTTCCCCACTGTTGGCTGTTCCATCTCTACCGCTGCTGCAGAGGGGCACCCAGACCCACTGAGCTGGGTGGAAGCCCACAGTCTGCTTCTAGAATGGGCAAGACCCACTGGGTCCCTCCCACAGTTCCTGGAACCTGGGCCAAGCCTGACCCACGGAGCCCACTTTGGCAGGGTCCTCTTTGCTTGGGGGGGGGGTAGCCCAAAGAAAGTGGGGTATAAAGCGCCAGATATTTGCCTGGTTGAGGGTTTTGTCCCACACTCCACCCTCACTCCTTGGATAAAGCTGACCCAGCTTGGAGCTTTGCTGTGAAACCAGGTGGATCCCACTGGGTTTTAAATGAACCTTGTTCCAGGCCAACACTCGGAGGGTACAAAATTTCCCGAGCTCAGATCTAGAGGGCAGCTTGGAAACCCTGCAGCACAAAGCCACCCAGTTCTAGCCTCCATGTTCCTCAGCGGCATGCAGAGCGGGGGGGAAGTGAAATGTGATGAAGCAGACAGAGCCAGGGATTGGAAATCCCAACCAGGGTTCTGGTCTCGTCTCCAAGAAGGGAGGACGTGATTGTGGTTAGAGTAGGGGCCTGGGTGTTAGGAAACCAGAGTTCATAGCTCTTGGAGCGAGTGCGCTCTAGTGCTTTGAACAGAGGAGAGGAGAGTCAGGATTGCTGGGATGGATTCTCAGCTCAAGGAGGGTGCGTTCTTTAGTGGTTAGAGCAGGAGAACGGGAATCAGGAGTCCTAGGGTCAATGTTCAGTTCCGCCACGGGCTCACTGTACCACCTTGGGCAAGTCACTTCACCTCCCTGTGCCTCAGTTAATTTTCGCCTGGTGTGAAGATTCAAGGCTTAGTAATTAGCATGCGTTAAGAGTGTTTGTAGATCCTTGGATAGAAGGGAAAAGTTATTACCCAGGTGCCTTGTGTGACAGGGCTGGCTACAGATATAGGTCATCACCGAGGACTCAGGCAGCTGATGCAAAAGGGAAGAAAAAAAAAACAACCAAGAGTGGCTGAGACCCTCAAAAGTCCTTGAATCATGCAATGCAGCGCTTCCCTGCTAATTAGAAAAATCCAGTTCTGAGCCCCTTGTAGCTGTGATGTCATCCCTAAGACTGGCTGATGTGTGTGTGTGGGGGGGGGGGGGGAGGAGAAGAGATTAGCTGGCGGATGGGATGCAAGCGCTGACACCATCCTTTCTTGATTTCACACCTGCCTCGCCTCTCTAGGCCTGTTCCCCAGCCCAGCTGCTGCCTCTGACGTGGGCTTGGAACCAAATAAGAGCACAGGAGCCGGGTCCTGCTTCCAAATCACGCCAGGATGTGCGTTTTGTGGGGGGAGGGGAGGGGTATCTTACATGCTTGGGGAATATGGTGTTTAAAAACAGAGCCATTCTGCTCCGGTGGGGTGAGACATGAACAGCCACTCACTGCTCTGCCAGCTGGGCACTCGGCCACCAGCTACCCTGGACCCTAGCCAAGGGCTCTGAGCCCACCAGGTCCCCTCTCCTAACTCCAGGTCCCCCCTCCACACACACACACCAGCCCTAAACTCCCCACCAGCTAGGCATGGAGCCTATAGAGTCTCCCCCCACCCCCCACCCCAATCCCAACCAGCTGGGCTGTGAGCCCACCATAGCCCACAGGCATCGCTCAACTGCACTCCCACCGCCGAACCTAACCTTAGCTTGCCTGGCCACCTGTATATCCATCCCGCAAGCCTTTTGGTGTCTCCCTGCACACCCTCCCAGCCCTCCCGCCCATGAATGCGCTGCTGGGCATGGGCTCGTTGAGGGTTGCATTTGAAGGGGAACTTTCCAATGCCGCAGTGTTCATACCTTGTGCACTGTGCTCTACTTGCCCGGAATAATAAGCAGGCGGGAAGCGGGGAGCTGCGCTGTGCATTTCCCTGGCGGCGTTAGCCCCGGATCTAAGGAGACCCGGGCTCTCCGATTTGCTCTCCGAATGTCATGACCCAGATTAATTGCTCAGAACAGTGCCCAGAGGCTGTTAAATCAGCACAGTAGCCTAGTGTGCCCCTGAAAGGCCCACCCTGCCCCAGAAGCATGTATTCCTGATCCCTGGATACCGTCCAGAGGCAGCAGGGGCCTCACACCCCTCTCCTTGTTCGCCAGCTCTGGGCAGGGCGGGCAGCTGCCCCATTACACAAGTACATGGCTCGTCAATGGCAGCATCTCTCCCCAGCCAGATGCTAACACATTCCTAACGGTTGCCAGGAACAACCTGTGTTTCTGCACTGGCAGGATGGCTGCTGGGGGGGAGAGAGACAGACACAGCCCAATCCTGTCCCGAGGAGCGGAGCATGGACACTTCCCGTGGGCTTCCGTTCACTCCTTCCAAATCACCAGCCTCGTGTCGGGGTTCAGATTTATCCATAGTCTCCGGGGAGCACAGCTGTGCTTAATTTGTGCCAGGGCTTGCAGGGCTGGACTCTGGCACTTCTCGGCTTGGCCATTCATAGCCCCGGCACCTCTGGGCTTGCTGCATCAGTTATGAATGTAAAACACTTGCTTGAACCCTGGCACCTCTTTCATTATAAATTAAGCACTGAAGCAGAGTGGGCGGGGGGCGGGCTCTCAGAACCACTGAGGGGAGGGGCATGCTGGCCCTTGGACCCTAAACTAGCCATGCAAACGCCTGTCCACATACCCCCTTGTGTTGCATCTACATACATCAACCTATGGTACTTATCTTCTATGGTATCAATCTATGGTACTTATGATACTATGGCCTTCATCGCTGCAGTATCTGAGCCCCTCCCCCAGTCTAATGTCTGTAGCCTCACAAGACCCCTGGGAAGCAGGGTAGTGCTATTATCCCCATTGTACAGATAAGCAACAGAGGCACAGAGAGGTTAAGCAATTTGCCCAAAGTCCTACAAGGCAGCTGTGGTAGAGCCCTGGTCTCCCACATCCCCAGCCCGCACTCCAACCACCAGGCCATCCTTCGCCCGCACCTTCAGTGCCACACGTTTTTACTGTCTAGGCAGCCGCACAGGTGACAATGTCAGGGGCAGGACGCTAGGGAAAGGGGACAGCTTGCACGCTGCATGGCCAGTGGTAGCCATTTGCCCTCTGTGCTGGGGTCCTGCCTCCAGTTGCTGTACTAGAATGGGAAGCGTGTGCATCCGCCGGGCGGAAGCAGCCGGGGAGAAGGAGACAAAGGCGAGCAGTGTAAGGGATTAGCTCCCCCAGCCAAGTAGCTTTGGCCTGTTGTCAGAGTTATAAATAGAGCTGGTGTGTGTCTATTGACACCTATTGAGCTGCTACCAGCTCCTCAGCAGAGCACTGCAGAGGCTCACAGCCACTTGGCCTACATGGCTGCTTAATCCTCATGACCCACAGCGCCTCCTGCTATCCCCTTCCAGAGCACCCGCACACAGCTCTGCCAATGCATTTCAATGTTAGCCTGCAGCGCCCCCGGGTATTGCAGTCCAGGGCTCCCACGTGCTGCCCAGCCGTGTCGGTGTAGCCCAGCTCCGATCTGCAGCCCCCAGCTCTAGGAATGCAGCACGCGCCTGCCCTGCAGCCTCCCCTTGCTCCTCCATTCCTGGGCCCCTCCCAGACAGAAACTGCCAATCACTGGTGCTTTCTGAGATGTGCAAAAACACGAACAAGGCTGAGACTGGGCCAGACTCATGTCACTTGTGTCCCATCAGGGTTTGAACCTAGTTCTCAAGAAGCGGCGGCACCAGCACATTAACCCATTGCTCATTCCATCATCATGGGTCTGTGAACTGGGGGCACAGAGAGCCCAAGGAAGGGAAAAAGCCGGTAGGGGGCTGGGCTGCTTCTATGTTGGGAAACCTGGAGATTAGGATCTTTAATCAAGGAGTAACCTCTTAGCATGGTAGTTGCTTCCTGCCTAAAATACCAGCTGCCCCTTGAAGGAGAGCCTGTGCTAGCCTTTTCAGGAATAGCGATGCAAGGACACTGCCTAGCAGCACAGGCACAGAAACCACCATCTGAAAAGCCAGGTCTGACGCTGCCCTTTGTGCCCCGTTCTGCAGCAGGCGGAGTGGGACCGCAGCATTGCCAGTACACACAACTATCGCATAGGAGATGAATGATCAATTACAGCGAACATTAACATCCGGGGAACTGGCAGCACTGAAGAGAAAGAGGATGGAAAAGGTGGAGCGGATTGCGAAGAATTGGGGTGGGGTATAAAGGCACGGGCCAGAGCCCTGTCCTCAGACACACCCATGGTGTTATCCCCTATCCGGCTACGCTTGAGTGGGGCCAGTGATCCTGGCATGTGGAGTCCAGAGAACTCACCACTCCCAGACTCAATGAGAGACACCTCCCGGTCAGATCACGCCTGCATGTCAGACACAGCACACGTAAAACATGAGCAGCGGCAGGGTCCTTAGCAGCAAGCAAGGAGGAAGAGAGGGCAGAGAGGGCCTTGAAGGACTCAGGACAAAAGCCCATCCTGGGAGGTGAGGGGTCAGGAAGAAGAGTCGAGCTTGGGGGTAGAGAGTCAAGCCTGCCTATGGAAGTGTACATACACAGACCCCACTGCACGCATGCACCCAGAGCTCCCCGTCTACTCCCTGCTGTTCGCTCTCCGGAGCCTCGCCCCCCAGGGAGCCATGCGTGCACCCGCAGACGCCAGCCTGTCTATGCAGCTATAACATAGGTAACGAATGACGATGACTCCAGATTCACTCATCCCAAAGGGTGGTAAATCTGGGGAAAGGCGGTCAGGAAGCACCCAGGCTGGAGAAAAGACCAAGCACCTGGCCCAGTTCTACGCAGAGCTGGGAGAGCTCCCCTTCTGTAGGGCCAAGGCCATCCGCACTGTGGATTCATGCTCTACTAGCAAGCTAAATAAACCCAACTAATTCTTAACTGGACCCCAGCTAGGACAGCAGAGAGCATCTCTCTCCTCTACGTCCGAGCACCAGCCTTGCTTCCTTTCCTCCGGCAGGGGTATTGTTGTATACAGGACTCTGCCTGGCCCAAGTGCCTAAGAACGTAGGAATCCCCCGGTGTGTCTAGTCCCAGACCCCATCTCAGAGCGACCAGTGCAGGATGCATCTAAAGAAGGAATTAACCCCCTAATAACCCACTGTGCAGTTCAATCCAGGCGACGGGGGAGTTTGTTCCTGACCCCAGCTGGGACTCGGTTCATGCCCTGAAGCCTGAGGACTGAAAGCCACTGTAGTGTATATCCTAGATGGTGTCACTGCAGGCGCTGGTCTCACTCCCCTGCATTTCATGCCCTACTTTCCTCCCCCCACTTCTTCTGGCGATTATTATTCGTAAAAGCCGGTGTATTCATGTCATTGCCTTGTACTGCATGAGAGTCAGGCACAGCGCACACAATTAAAACACTTTGCATGTCTATGGAACCTTCCATCAGAGGCTCTCTCAGCTCTTTAAAGCCATGAATGAATTTAGCATCACAAACCTTCTCCCCCACCCCCAGGCTGGAACTGGAAGCGAAGTATAATGGGCCAAGTTTTCAAAAGGGATCAGCCCCCATTTAAGCACCATAACTGGTAGCCAGCTTTCCTCAAAGCGTTTTCCAGCCCCAGTGGGAGGCGTGAGGCTCAGGGCCAGGGTTCACTCTCAGTTCTGGTGAGGCTGGGGCTACGGCCAGTTCCTAGCAGGTCAGTTGGTCTCCAATTCCAATGCCTGTCTGCGGTTTGGAGCAGCACTTACCCAGGGCGAAGGCAGGCAGGGGGAAGCGTGTTCTGGCTGGGAAGGCTGGACAGGACCGTGGGGTGGATCCTGTGTCCATGAGGGTAGAGTGGTGTGGACTGACGCGATGGCTATGGTGATATTCCTCTCTGCACCTTCACACAGAGACCAAGGTTCTCCTCAGATCAAGGCCCAAGAGCATTCCCCCTGGCACACCGCTAGGAGAACTCCCATGGATCTCACAGCCCAGCAGATCCCCCTTGGCACGGGGCCCCAGAGGAGGCGTGTGACCCCTGGCATATGGCTTGGGCGCCTATCTTTATTGAGGGCCCCTCCTCTCCAGTGCTTTATCAGATCCCTGATGCACTGACTCATGCTCAGCCAGGCTGCAGGCTGCCTGCCAGCTACCCCAGGCACAGAAACGGGACGGGTTTGCTCCAATGCCCCAGGGTGGCTTGTTGGGTTGCTGTGGTGGCTGAGGCAGGCCAGAAACATGAGCCTTAATGGCTTGGTTACAAGGCGATAGCACAGCCAAGGAGCAGCTCCAGTGAGCAAGAGGCAGCCAAGGCAGCAAGTTATTCTTAGCAAGAGAACAGCTCCCTGTTTAACAGATCCCCACCCTGGCAGCCTCTCCACTTTGGCAGCTTCCCCACTCTCTGCCAGCAGGTTGTCGTCTCTCTTGGTTCCTCAGGAAGCTGATAGGTGGATCAAGGCTGGAGGTTGGGTTGTTCATTTCCCCCCCCTCCCCCCGACGTTTCCATTACCCAAAGATGTGGCCACGGATGGAGGAACGCAGGATTTGTCAGATCGGATCAGACTGTTGGTCCGTCAAGAGGGCTTTCCACAGCCATCACTACCTGATGCTTTAGAGGAAATAGCCAGTAATGGACCAAGCCCATAGTGCAAGGCTTTTCCAGAGGCGGTGGGAAGTAGGATATGGGGTGCAAGTGTCCTTCCTGATGCCTATAGCAGCTGATCAGCTAAAACACAGACACATGACCTCTGATCACCCACCTCAGTCTGCCAGCTAGCTACCAGTGTTACTAATGCCCATCACACCTGCCAACCCTTCCTTTTTCCCTTCTGAAAGGGGCAGAACAACATTAGGCTTTAACTCACCCGACCGCAGCCCCATCGACACAAAGAGGGCCACAGCTGCGAGCAAAGTTTGGCCCAATGAGGGGCAATGCAGAGGATCAGGACTCCTGGGCTCTATCGCCAGCTCTGCCACTGACTCACCATGTGACCTTAAGTCAAACACAGAGCTCCAGAGGCAGGTATATCTCATTATACAGATGGGGAAACTGAGGCACGGGACACCACCACATAGCAAGTCAGTGAGAGAAACCAAGTCTTCTGGATCCCTGTTTACTGCATCACACTATCTCTGCTTAACCAGTCACCCACTTGTTTCCTTGTGCTGCCTCATCTGCCTGCAGCCACCTGTCATCTCTCAACTTATATTATAAGCTCTCCAGGGCAGGGACCATCTCTTTGTTCTGTTTGTTCAGAGCCTCGCACAGTGGGGTCCTGGTCTGTGGCTGGGGCTCCTAAACACTACGGTAATACAAATAAACGCAATAACTGAACCGCTCATCCCTTTTCCGCAGCCGTGAGATGGAGATAATACCCGCCTACCTGCCAAGCACATTGTGAAGCCTCGTGTGTGTCAAAAGCTTGGAGATCCTCAGATCACAGACGAAAGGGAATCCCCTAGAAAAACAAACGCGCTAATATCAGGATGGAGGGGGTATTGCTCTGCGTTGCTTTTGCCCGGGATTGACTTTCAGAAGCATACTCCTTCCAGCTCCACCTGAATCAAGGGGTCCAGCTGCCCCCCAGAAAGCCGCAGCTCCTGTGCCAAAGCCACCCAGGGCCCGAAGTGCTCACAGACTTCTAGGGCTCCGGAAAAGACTTCCTAACCCCGCCAGGCTCTGTGCCTCAGGGAACAGCTGTCTGCAGAGAGTGATTTGTTTTCTGCGTGTTAAGAGCCCATTTCCCATGCCGTGCAGCTTGTCCAGGAGAGTGTGAGTGCACCTTGGAGATTAATAAAGGCTAGGGAAGCAAGGCAGCTGCAGCGCAGCCAGAAATACACACCCGCCAGTCGCCTCCCCCAGAAAGAGACACGGCATATTTGCAAGAGGCTCCGGCAAAGAGCAGGGTGACGGGGCGCAGCACAAGTCTGGATTAATGTGCGCACAGGGTCTGGCGACCTGTTGCCCCTCCAGCAGTTACTCCAATGCAAAATGAGTGTGAAAAGCGAATGTGATTCAGCGCTTGTCTATGTGCGGAGGTGCTCTGGAATATCTATGCCAGCTCAACTCCATGTGTGGATGTGGTTATTCTGCAGTAAGAGGGCCTTATTCCAAATTAGCTAAATCCACTTGGAATAACAGTGTCCACACATGGAGCTAATCTGGAATAGTTAATTCACTTTAAATTCACACCCTACTTTACTCCAGATTAACTTTCATGAGTAGCCAAGCCCTTAGTAAGGGTTTGATGCCCTCTTTGCACTGGTATAAATGACTCCACATAGCTCAGGGCAGCAGAGACTCATGCTGAAGGAGGACAGAATAGGAGCGTAATGCTCCAGGAGAACCCAGACAGTCTTTGTGCCTAGGGCCAGTACTGCAACAGCAGAGGCTGCCGTGGGTCAGGGTTGAGGTGGGTAGAACTGGAATGATAGTGGGTGCCCTGGGGCACAGACCAGGTGCTTTGGCATGGTTTGGGTAGGAGAGGAGAGGACTAGAGGGACAGGGTTCAGGTGCCTTGGAGGAGCTGGGGCAGGGAGAACTGGAACCAG